TTATTTACATATGTAAAGCTTAAATTTCCTTAATGAATCTAGCTATTTTTAGCTTTCTTTTTTTATACAATATGCTTAAAATTTTAACTTATTTTTTTAACCTAATTTTTATTACTCTTCTAATTTTTTCTTCAAAATCGACAATATTTCTCTATCTTGTTTGGATATACTATAGTCAGATTTCATAAATAACTGTCAGATGTAGCCATGAAGCTGTTTTTCATAGCTGTATATATATATTTTTTTTTTATAACTCTGATGCTCAAGTTAAAGGTACATGTGGTGCTCTTTTATTAATAACATTTATTAGTATCTGTAATATAAGTATTTATATATATTCTCTTTCTTTTTAGATAAAAACCTTTTTAAGCTAAACTGTACTATTTTAATTTCTTTGTTTAAATGGCATTTAACTATACTTAAAATACTTGTTAGAGTTTGGTAATCCTCTTCTCATTTAACTTTTGTATATTGGCATCAAATTTCATAAATTGTGTTAATATGCAACCATAATGCTGCCTGTAATTCTTCTTTACTCTTTATGTTTGATGCATTAAAGATCTCTTCTAATATTCTAAGTGAACATTCAGCTTGTCCAATATCAAGAAAGAAGTAAGCTAGCTTCCAAATTTCCTGGCTGATTCTGTATTTTATGATTAAGTGCTCAATAGTTTGAAGCTTGTTGATGCACCATGTACAGTCACTATTTTCTTCTGGGCTCATATGTCACAATCAATAACCAAGAGGAAGATCTCTGTGAAAGGAGTGCTAAGCAATATCTTTTTGTCTATTTTCTATTGCTTTTACATCTAACTACTGGTTATTAGAGCTTCTTTTCAGGTTTGTATTTACAGGATTTGTAGTTTTTTTTCTTAAGAATTCTGCTAAGCTTTTTACTAAGATTTGATTTTATTTTTTTCCTTTTGCTATAAGGTTTTCTTTATATTAAGGCCATTCAGTAGAAGCATCAACTGTTCCTTTCACTCTTTTTCAGACAAGAATATATAGTTTCCATTCTGTTAGCAAGTTGCTGATTTTATTATTAATCTTAGAACTAAGATATTTCTTTTTTCTTTTATTACTATTGTAATCTTTTCTCTCTTGAATTTAGACTATAAGAAGTTTTCTGTTAGAAGCTTTAACCAAACTGTTAGTAATCTTGTATCAAGTATATCTTTTATAATTGGAGCTTTAAGTCCTTGTTGGTCTGCAGAAAGCTAAAAGACTAAGTATTTAGGTAACATCTTTGAGGTTTCTTTTATTCATAATGTAATTATCTGATTGATCTCTGTTATTTGTTTTCTATTTGGTAGTAAGAGGTATGCTGTATATATGCTTTCTAAGAAGCTCTTTAGCTTTTTGATCATTGTTGGCCATAGGTCTTTTTTAGGTTGTCTGTTAGATTAAATCATATATCTCAGAATGGTTAATGTTTCATGTTCTGTTACTTTTTTAAAGTGTTCTTTTTCTAATAATCTGACTTGTCTAGCACTTGCAGTGAGTGGAACTAGTTTAGTTTTATATTTGTTAATTTTTGTGTTAGATGTAAGCTTATATGGTTTTTTCTTTTTAATTGTTTTAGCATTGATTCAAATACTAATACATATAGAAGATAAGAAAAAAAATCTTCTTGTTACATACCTCTTTTTAGTTTAAAAGATTCAGACAGATTATTCTCTTCTACTATATAGGCCTTCTGATTAGTGAAGAGGTTTCCAATTAAGTTAACAAATCTTGGATCAAAGTTCATTTTGTTTAGTACTAATTTTAAAACCTTATAATTTACTCTGTCAAATGCTTTTTGCTGATTAACAAATAGTATCCAGTATTGCTTAAAGTTATTTTTTTGGTCTCTCATTGTTGTTAAGATATCAAAAGATGTGTCTGTTATAGATCTGTTTATAATGAAGCCTTGTTGGTGGCTTGGAATTATATTATTACAGATTATATTTAGGCTATTGGCTATAATTTTCATAAAAATTTTTGCATTACTGTTTAGGTTTTCAGTTGTTTATATTGTCAAGCTCTTCTAATTTTTTTAAGATTAGTATAATTAGATTCTTACATTATAAGACTAAAAAAATGCCAGAGTTTAGAGTTTTATTAAAAATTTTTTTCAAAACTAATTCAACTGCTTCTTTTGTAAGTTTGTAGAACTTATATGTTAAGCTATCTATTCTAAGAGATTTGTTATTTGATAGGTTTTATATAACTTTTATTATTTCTTCTTGTGTAATTCTTTTGACCAAATCTTTATTGAATTCATATTATACTTGTAGAAGGTTTTCTGTAATTTTTTCTGCTGCTTTCTTATAACTCTTCTGCTTTGTAGGTTTCTGCATATTGTTTTTTAACATACTATAAAATGTCCTTACTATTTTGATAATTACTATTTGGAACTTTAATTTCTGAGTAGGCTGCATGGAATTTTTTTTGTTTATATTTTGCAAAAAAATATTTTATTAATTTTTCACCTTGTTCTATTTATTGCATTTTGGAATGGATATGCCATTTTTCTGTCAAAGATGTTAAAGATAAAGACAGGCTTTTTGTGTTTGATGAATCAGCTATTTTTTTTTACTTAACTTTGTTATTTCATTGTTAGGCCTTGAGATTTTGCTTTTTGTTGTTTTTGGCTTTCTAAATGCTTTTATAATCAATTGTATATAAAACTTGCAAAGATTTTAGTCCTCTGTTGTATTTGATTTACTAATTTCCTTAAAGACCTCTTTTTTAAGTTTTTCATTATTAGATATGATTTATCAAATTGCCAGCTGTATGATTGTTTTTGTTCCTAGTTGAAGTTGAGTAAGTAACTAACTAAGAAACCTGGTCAGAATTACCAAAATGTGTAGTGACCTTAGAGTCTAAATGTGATCGATTTTTATTAATAAATATGTAGTTTAAACATGTTGCCATCATGCTACCATTTTGTATTTTTTGATGAAATGTAAGAAAAGGCTTAGAGCCTGCAATTTCTGCAATATTTAAAAGATTTCTTGTTAATTTCAACAGTTGGTTTCTAGATAGGTCTGGTTGAGGTACTGTCTAATTTATTCTGTTTGCTTCAGGTTTTAGATTTATATTGAAGTCTTCTGCTATAATGTTTATTGCATCTTTTTTATTGATAAGTCCAGTTATCGAAAATATTATTCTATTGCTAGTGTTAGGAGGTGCATACACATTAGTAATAAGAAATTAAAGACCTTTGTAAACATATGATACTGAAATAATTTGTCCATCATGGTCTATTTTCATATTTTTAAAGGAAATATTTCTGTTTCTAGTCAGAATTGCCATTTTGTCTGACCAGAATGAGTCATATATCTATTGATTTTTTAAAACATTCCTAGTGTTTTTATTGTTAAAATTAGTTTTTTGTATTATTATTAAATCTAAATTGTAGAATTTTAAGAGTATTAATATTTTTTGTTGTTTGCCTTGATCATTTAGTCCTTTTACATTCAAAGTTATAATTTTAAGTTTGAATTTTAAAGACATGTAAATGTATAGAAAATTTTAACCCAATTAGATCTGTAAGAGCAGTCTCTTATTGCATTGTTTTCTGTATATGCTAGGCCTTAATTGGTTCTTATCCTGTAAGCTCTTTTTTTTTATTTTTGTCTTTTTTACAAAATAGCATAGAGGCCTTCTCAATGTTAACTTCTATTATAGATAGTGTTCCATCTGAGTTTTTGTTTTTTGCCTATAATTCTGTATTAAGATGCAGTGCAACCAGTTCATCATAAGATGCTAGTACTGAGTTAGGTAAGAGGTCCTTATTTTTATTTAGTATAGAGTTTCTTTTATTGTTGTTTATTTCCATTGAAGATGACAAAAGCCCATTTTGTTTATCTTGTACTAAAGCATTTTTTGTAAGCCTGTGTCTTCAGTAATAGGTATATTATCTTGCAAGTATGAGTTTTCTTTTTTGTTAGCAGAATTAGCTATATGAGATTCTTGTTTTGGCCTGATATTTGCAAAATTTTCTTTGCTGTATAATCCAATTCTTTTTTAAAATCTTGATATTGTTGATGAAGGGCTACTAATTCCTGAAATAGCTGGCATTCCTTTTTAATGTGTCTTTCTTTTTTGCAGAACTAGCACACTTTTGCTGTGCCTTTCACTCTGTTGTGACCTTGTTATCCCAAATATGAATAAACCTTTTAAAAATGAATCTTCAGTGGTCTCAAAAATTATAACCCACTAATCTGTTAGGTATGATGTATTTTCAATTAACAAGAGCTTAATTGATGCTATTTTACCTATATTTTTAAAAGCATCTTTGATTGAGTCTGACAGTTCTTCTTTGTTGCCTAGTGGAATGTTTCTAATTTTATATTCATTAGGACATATCCAAAATATGGTTTGTTAAGAATTTTAACACCTTTTGTTGCATAGTTCTTTAGTTTTTTTTTTGTCTATAAAGATTATTTCTAAATATAATCATATTCTTTTAGTAAGATGTTGTTTAGCTGCAATGATGTCATGTTTAGCAGTTTTGAATAAAGATGACATAATTTTATTAAAAGAGCATCATAGGTTTTGTATATCTATGATGAGAGTATTTTTATTTTTTGATTTAATTGTGTTCTTAGAAGAAAAAGATAAGTAAGTTGACTGACCTCTTTTAAGTTTAAAAAAGAGACTTGATTATTTTTTTTGTTAATAGTTCAGTTATTTTACTAGAGCTATAAGTTGTATTTTTTTCTAAAATAAAGTTTCTTGTTTATTCATTAAATCATTTTGAGTTGTTGTTTTTATGTTATCTTTGTTATTTATATTAGTCTCAAAAACCTCTTTGCTATGTGTTGTTGTTTTGGTGTTGTCTTTATTATATGTACTAATTTCAAAGACCTTTTTATTATATATATTGACTTCAATAACCTCTTTATTATGTAAGAAAATGTTGTTGTCTTGTTTTAAAAGTGTTGTTATATTGTTGTTATTTTTTTTCTACTGATGATATTTTTTTCTTTTATTATATATGTTCTATTTTTTTAAAGTTCTTTCTTATATGTATTTGTTATTTTCTTAAGTTTTTTAGCTTCTTGAACTACTTGTTTATCCCAGCTAGGATTGCTTTTGTTGATATGTTCTAGTGAATCTAAGTTATTGCCTTCTACTTGTATAGGCTTCAAATTTTTTGGTGTTTTTCTTATTAATGTTTGTTGTTGTTTTTCATTTTTTTTTTTTTTTTTTTTTTTTGAAAAAAAACGCATCTAAGCGTGTCTT